ATATATCTAACTGTCATATTATAATACTGAATAAAATCGGGTGAAAGCAAATACAGAGCAATTAGGAAACCATGAATTCACTTTTGTTGACGTTTTAACAAATCTTATTCAGAGCATTCCTGAAATATGAGTCCCATATCCTATTGGAAATTATTTCCCAGCTTTACGCCTTAATACGCACAGAATATTGGTTCCTGAGTAGTATACGGTATAGAAATATTGGTTCGTGAGTAGTATACAGTATAGAAATATTGGTTCGTGTGTAGTAAGGTATAGAAATATTGGTTCGTAAGTAGTATACGGCAAGGTTCAAATACAAGGAAAGTTATTTCAGAGGTGTACTGGAGTGTACTGTCTTTGGGCGGAAAAGTAAACACAAGACGGATATAACAGCCTGACAAGGAATCAATTTTCACAAAAATAATCTATGAAATATTCTGGTCATAGGAAACTATTATGTAAATTTTCAAAATTATCAAAATTAAATGCTTTTAAACTTCTCGGATACCAGACGAACACTGATGCATCTATTCTTGTTTAAAAATTCCGCCCAGAGAGAACTGGTTTCAATATGTACGCAGAGTATACGCGATCGCAATTAACTTTCCTTGGTATACGGTATAAAAATATTGGTTCGTGAGTAGTATACGGTATAGTTCCACCTACGTTATACTGATGGGTAACATTTAGAGGTTCGTTTTCAAACAGTCAAGGTTATTGACTGTTATAGAAATCCCACAAGAATGATTTATCACATTCAAAATTGTATTCTCTATCAGTTTACTTTTATTACAATCTGCAAAATTATTAATAATTATAAACCAAAACAATTTTTCAAAACGATTGGTAAACTAGTTTTGAAAAATCGTTTTCTTTAATAACTTTCTCTAAATCTATATATATAAAGTTGTAATCTCTGTTTATCTGTCTGTTTGCTTTAATAATAATAATAATGATAATAATGATAACCTGAATTATAACTTCTTTTCTCTAGCTCGTTTATTCTATATCAAAAACTTTAAAGTTTCCATTAAGTGAATTTTTTTGAGAATTATTACTACAGTGCAAAGATGATAAGTCAGATTAAAATATATACATAAATGCATAACTACACGTTTAACTATGTTATGCAATTCACCCCTCTCTTCAACTTGTTACAATGTCAAACAGACAAAACAGTTATCTTNCCACTCCACTCTGATTTGGGACACCCTGTACTTGTATATATAATTACATATTCTCCTAGTCCCAAGTTGTCCCAACACAATAATTATACTTATTTCTATACTTTCAAGTACTTAAACAGTGAGTGTTAATGCCTGTATTTAACAGGCTTGTCCTTTGCATGCAAATAGGCCTATATACACTACCGTTGCACTATAAACATACAGTGTATATTACATAAAGCATATATTATATGGGCTCCAGTACAAAAGGTAGAATTACAAAAGGTAGAATGACAGAAGGTAGAACGATCATAAGGTAGAACGACATAAGGTAGAACGATCAAAAGGTAGAACAAACAAAAGGTAGAATTAAAAAAGGTAGAACGTTCAAAAGGTAGAATTTTTCAAATTAAATTTTTTTTTACATGTCTAAAAAAAAGTCAAAAAATAATGTTTCTTATTTATTAGGACTAATTTTTATTTTACTAATGTACATGATTTTAATCCATGCCATGCAAAAATTTTGGCAAGCTGTTTCATAAGGTCATGTTTTTAATTCTAGTACGTTTATCTCTCTGTTTTTAATTGCCAGCGCTCTCAGTGCTGTTTGCACCACTGGCTGAATCAAGAAGAGTTCATATTTCTGGTCGTCAATCAATGTTCTTTTCTTCTTTTGATTCACCCCATAGTTGACCAACCTCTCCATGCTGAATTCAACCGAGAAATGCAGTTTTGTGATTTTTTTTTTTAAATTCGCGGATTTTCTAGTAAAAATTAGAAAATTTTCTTCCTTCTCAAAAATAAAAAAATTCTACCTTTTGAACGTTCTACCTTTTGTAATTCTACCTTTTGAACGTTCTACCTTTTGCTTATTCTACCTTTTGATCGTTCTACCTTTTGTCATTCTACCTTTTGTCATTCTACCTTTGTAATTCTACCTTTTGTAATTCTAACTTTTGTACGTGAGCCTATTATACATCGTACAATGTACATTATACATTGTACATCGTATAATGTACATTGTACAATGTACAATGTAAAATATACATCGTACAATGTACATTATACATCGTAAAATGTACATTATACATTGTACAATGTACATTATACATCATACAATGTGAATTATACATCGCACAATGTACATTGTACATTGTAAAATGTACATTATACATCGTACAATGTACATTATACATTGTACAATGTACATTATACATCGTACAATGTACATTATACATCGTACATTGTACATTGTAAAATGTACGTACTAGTACACATAAATATACAATATACAGGGCAAGAAATTTGTACTTAGTTGATATGCCAAGGGAATAAGAATAAATGGAATAGAAATGGCACTGGTCAGGCATGAGAAAGTCACAATGCTTTGCTGTTGGGTTCCTTATTTTTAGCGCATGCGTCCAAAACACTCAGCTATTTAAACCCTACAGTCAAGGATGGTGCAGAACAATGTCGTCAATTATAATTAAGCTTGAATCACGAATAGTTTATTATGAATTGTAATCAAATTATATTCTTTGCATGAAAATTTCGCTTATAGTGTTGACTTGAATATATATATAATATATATATATATTTATACATTGACTTCAAAATGAACTGCAAGGTTGAGTGGAATAATGAAACATATTTGCACACAAAACTATATTTACATGTTAACTATTCAAACTGTGGATCAATTAAGAAATTGGATCTAAATACACAACATTCGCCTACGGTGATTATATTTCAATCAGACTCTTCTGATTCGATGCTTTATGACAACTGAGCTGGGAACTTTAGAATGGTGGATATCGGAATTAAAGCTTAATCCACTCTTTTTCTTAATCTCCAGATTAAATAATCCTTGTTCTCCTCTTGTTATTAATGCAGATTAATGCACCGATCGGAATTAAGTATATCTCCTTCTAAAGTTTTCAGCTCTGGCCTGATCTGGGGTTCAACATGCATCTCCCGGCCGCTAATGAGTCTAAGAAGAAAAATTTAGATACACGACGTTTATTATAAATAAATAAAATAATATTCTCGTGATTTTGTGATCTCGTGGTTTTGCTTGTAAACGTGTTATGTTCACGTTTGAAACATTCAGAGAAATTGATTGTACAGCATTTAAATATTTAAGACAAATTTGATTTAAAAAATATACAGTCCAGCCAAAAATTACAATTAAACAAGGCAAAAATACACAAGAAGGTGCGTATATAGAGGTGGGGCGCTATGGGGGCCTAGTCCCCTGGAACAGTTTGTCCCATAAGAAAAATTTCTTTAAACTCCCCTGACACGGGCAGCCGTATTACATTTGAATTTCCGAGCCGGATCAACCAATTTCCAGTCCCAGTTTGTACTGCACCTAGCTCTATGGACATATGCTTCATATAGGTTGAATTTACTCTTACTAAAGGGGCAGAGGTGCGTGCTGAGGATAGATATTTTAAAAGTGTGAATTTTCAAAATGATGGTAGTGAATTTTTCTGCGACATTTTCAAGATCTGTAGTCAAAACCTGCTCTTGGAGACCCAAGTCAGGTGTTCGACACAAATTGGTCAAACCATTTAGAGGTTAAATGAAGAAAAAAAATAATATTATTTTATCTTGAATTTAGTTGTGAAGAGTGGTAATCCCCCCCTAATCTCCTCATACACTCCATACACCATCAAATCAAATCAAAATCTAGATACATACAATTACAAATCAGGTAAAACACTTTCATTTACACAAACTAATAAAAATGTCAATATTTATTAATATTAAAGAAAAAGTTAAAAGATATATTAAGTTTAAATTTTGAATTTGGTTTAATATTAGTAGGGTTGAAGAGTAGGGTTGAAGAGTAGGGTTGAAGAGTAGGGTTGAAGAGTAGGGTTGATGAGTAGGGTTGATGAGTAGGGTTGAGGAGTATGGTTTTGAGGTGTATGGTCAAGAATTTAGGGTTGAGGAGTAGGGTTGAAGAGTAGGGTTGAATGAAGAGAAGGATGGTTGTATATACTAGGAGAGGGAGCAGGGTACTGGATACAGGACAGGTTAAGATGAGAAACAAGGATCAAGATTATTATCAAGTGAGTTCTTATTTTTAAAGTGTCTGACAACAAAATCTTATTTAAGGTTTATCTTTAAAGGAAAACAAAATCTTTTTATCAGGTTTATCTTAATATTTAAAGATATTGTGCAAAAAGTTCGGATCACTCTTCAGATTAATTTTAATCAAGAATAGGAAGTTAATAGTAAACAAATTCAATTTCCAATGGAAAAAAGGCGGGAAACAAAAGCAGGAAAAAAACAAACTAATTCATCAAAATAATCAGGAAGGATATTGCCCACCGTAATAGAGGCCCAATTTGTACCTAAATTTAGGAAAACGTATTTTTCCAAAACAAAAACGAGAAAATGCGAGAAAAGTGTTGTTGTATTTTTTATTTGAATAAATACTTTAACTAAAAGTATGTAGCTGATAGGACTCAGTCCCTGTGCACACAATCCGCTCGCGCAGTGCATCCTAATCAACATTGTTACGTTCGGCAGCTCCCCGCTTATCATGGCCCACCAAAATTCAAAATTTCAAAATCTTCAGCTACTAAAAATTCTTTCCATCTCTTTTATAAATTTCCTAAAAGATCATCTTAGGTTTTAATGAGTCTAGTACTTCAATTGTTTTAAATTAAATTTATTGATAAAAATTGATGACCAATTGTTCGTCCATTAACCCTTAATTGCAGTTTATCCTGTGTATTGAATAAAATTTTAAAAGTTTGAAGATGGTCGGAGTGGTTGTGACGGAGTCCCCTTAATATATTTGTTGACTTTAAAAGTCAATATGATAAAATAAAAGAGATCTAACGGTATTTCTAATCTTTATTTATAAAAACAAAAGGTTATGAAATATTTTCCCAAGTGGGGCTTAAATTGATTGGTTTAGAAATTAATAAAGAAACTATAGACTAAAATTTGGTTTAAGATCTTTTAAATAACCTGTTTTTTCCAAAGATTATTTTACATAATAAAATTTTAAATAATTTTTATTTTTTACTTTTGATATTGAATTAACAAAAAAAAAGTTTCCTTCAATTCCATTCATTCATTCATTTATATAAAGTAGTAATCTCAGTTTGTCTCATCATAAATCAAGAACCCTTAAACCGATTTGTATTAAATTTGTATTGGGGAACTCGATAAAACCACAGGAATATTATGTTAAGATAAAGCTATTGTGACCTGAAAATACTTTAAGATTTTTATTATGTTCAGGTGGAAACGGAAAATATGATAATGTAGAAGAGCTAGGTCCAGATTTCTCTAAACTATCCAAGGAACTGAACAGGGTTGTTCTTAAGATACAACACCAAGCTGAGGTGTCTCCAGACTGCCCGATGCACAACCATGATACTTCAGACTCAAGGAAAACCATCTTAGAGACATGATTATATTTAAAGATTATAATAACAGCCAGGAGTAGGGCTAGGGAGTAAGGTTGGGGAGTAGGGTTGAGGAGTAGGGTTGGGGAGTAGGGTTGAGGAGAAGGGTTGAGGAGTAGGGTTAAGGATTAGGGTTTGAGGAGTAGGATTGAGGAGTAGATTTGAGGAGTAGGCTTGAGGAGTAGGGTAGAAGAGTTTGGTAGAGGATTAGGATTAATGAGTAGGATTAAGAAGTAGGGTTGAGGAGAAGGGTTGAGGAGTAGAGCTTGGGAGTAGGATTGAGGAGTAGGTTTGAGGAGTAGATTTGAGGAGTAGGCTTGAGGAGCAGGGTAGAAGAGTTTGGTAGAGGATTAGGATTAATGAGTAAGATTAAGAAGTAGGGTTGAGGAGAAGGGTTGAGGAGTAGAGCTTAGGAGTAGGGTTGAGGAGTAGGTTTGAGGAGTAGATTTGAGGAGTAGGCTTGAGGAGCAGGGTAGAAGAGTTTGGTAGAGGATTAGGATTAATGAGTAGGATTAAGAAGTAGGGTTGTCGAGCAGGGTTGAGGAGTAGAGCTGAGGAGTAGGGTTGAGTAGTAGGGTTGAAGAGTAGGGTTGAAGAGTAGGGTTGAAGAGTAGGGTTGAAGAGTAGGGTTGATGAGTAGGGTTGATGAGTAGGGTTGAGGAGTATGGTTTTGAGGTGTATGGTCAAGAATTTAGGGTTGAGGAGTAGGGTTGAAGAGTAGGGTTGAATGAAGAGAAGGATGGTTGTATATACTAGGAGAGGGAGCAGGGTACTGGATACAGGACAGGTTAAGATGAGAAACAAGGATCAAGATTATTATCAAGTGAGTTCTTATTTTTAAAGTGTCTGACAACAAAATCTTATTTAAGGTTTATCTTTAAAGGAAAACAAAATCTTTTTATCAGGTTTATCTTAATATTTAAAGATATTGTGCAAAAAGTTCGGATCACTCTTCAGATTAATTTTAATCAAGAATAGGAAGTTAATAGTAAACAAATTCAATTTCCAATGGAAAAAAGGCGGGAAACAAAAGCAGGAAAAAAACAAACTAATTCATCAAAATAATCAGGAAGGATATTGCCCACCGTAATAGAGGCCCAATTTGTACCTAAATTTAGGAAAACGTATTTTTCCAAAACAAAAACGAGAAAATGCGAGAAAAGTGTTGTTGTATTTTTTATTTGAATAAATACTTTAACTAAAAGTATGTAGCTGATAGGACTCAGTCCCTGTGCACACAATCCGCTCGCGCAGTGCATCCTAATCAACATTGTTACGTTCGGCAGCTCCCCGCTTATCATGGCCCACCAAAATTCAAAATTTCAAAATCTTCAGCTACTAAAAATTCTTTCCATCTCTTTTATAAATTTCCTAAAAGATCATCTTAGGTTTTAATGAGTCTAGTACTTCAATTGTTTTAAATTAAATTTATTGATAAAAATTGATGACCAATTGTTCGTCCATTAACCCTTAATTGCAGTTTATCCTGTGTATTGAATAAAATTTTAAAAGTTTGAAGATGGTCGGAGTGGTTGTGACGGAGTCCCCTTAATATATTAGTTTAAACTTCATTTCAAATATTTAAAATAATAGAATAAAATATTTAATTTTAAAAGTGCTTCCTCTAAAATACATTTCTAGAGTTAATCACTAATCTCAAGAAAATAGCTGAAAAATAAAGGCGTAAATCCCCTTTGAAAATTTGCGCCATTGAGGGGAAATGTTCCCATTTCACTTTACAGAAATCCACACTTTCTAAAGGTGTAATCGCACCGTTCAAAGTTGGAGGCCAGTATAAATTACGTTAATAGTAAGAATTGGTTTAACTGATAATTATAATAATAATAATAATAATGATTATGATGATAAAATCAAAAGAAAATAATTTTAATGGTATGAATTACAAATAAAGATAATTATTTTAAACATTTTTTTATTTATCTATTTCATTTCTCTTATCAGGAACATCGCCAGAGTTTAAGTGTAGGGGATCGATTAAACTCAGGGTCAGGATCAGGATCAGGTTTAGGATCAGGATCAGGATCAAGAATGGGATCAAGAGAAACTCTTTTATCAAACAGGTGACAGTTTTATGACAATATTGAGCTTATTGGGAAAGGAATTGAGTCCTTGCCACAAACTCTTATTTTCTAATCCCTAAATTTTTACAATTTGATTTCCTAAACCTTGGATATTTCAAACAAAAAATTCTGGTAAATCAAGTATTGGTAGTTTAAAATATCAAACATTTACACAATCAGGTTGTAACAATTCAGGGATTAGAAAATATATATGTTTGTTGCAAAAGCTCAAGATAAGCAAATAGATTATCAAGTACAATCGGTGGCAACAGAGAAATGGACCAATTATACACGACATCACAAGTGTCAAATATAACATGGAAAAGGAAACTTTCTCACATTAGTTGACATGTTTTCCAAGATTAAATAAAGAAATTTAAAAGCAGAAAATAAAGAACACATAAAATTGCACTTATTTTACTGTAAGATAGGCACTTTATTCTAAAATGATCACTTTTATCGATAATTTGGTAGGACACAAAATCCAAGTTGACACTTGTGACGTAAGAGTACAGCTGTACTGAGAGTGTACAAATTCTACGTTGCCATCTTTTGTACTTAAAAATCTATTTGAACAAAAGTATTGATGTACTATTGCCACGGTCCCGGAAATAATTGTCATTAGTTTTTAAAGTCTGATTCTTTAAAGTTATTCCAAAGTAATTTTAACCGCGAAAACATTTGTGTTTTTTTTTTGTGGAATAACTTGTAAACTATAAAATACTGTCTATTTCTGTAAAAATGAATTGCGGATTTATAAAGCAAAGTGAATACAGGAAATTTTGAGAGCTTTTCATCATTTCAAAGCAGAAAAATGACGACATTTTTCTCATTATTGATCAGAATAGTGAATTGTAAATAGATTATGCAACGTTTTAAAAATAGGGTCACATTAAACTAAGTGTCAGTGAACAGTCTCTTTAACTTTAATTTTTTTTTTCAGAGGTTCGATGCATGAATCCCAGTATCAGAGTCTTCCTAGAGCACTGAATAAGGAAAACAACCAATAAATTCATTAAATGAGTAAAATCGGTTTTTTTTTTCGATAAAAAAACAATTCATTTAGAAGAAGAATTAATTTGATTACACAATAGTTTTAGAACTAAACAACCAACTGAATTAAATCTATTATATATATATATATATATATAGGATTAATAAATAGAAAAAAGACAAAAAACTCAATCCAAGTAAAAGATAGAGACGGGATTTACAATTTGACAATTGGTTTTATAAGGCCGCTTTTTATTTCACGCTATTTTTCCAAAAATGTTTTTAAAAAAATGACAATTTCTTGTTTTCGTTTTTATAACCTTTGTGAAATTTTAGTTTTGAAAAACATTTGGTTTGGTTTAAGGATCCTAGCTCTAAACTGGACCGGAGACAATCCTTCCAAGATTATAAAACCTTCAGAGATAAATTCGTCGGCAAAGTCGAATTCAAGGATACTTTAAGGTAGGAAAAAATAATAAAGTTTTATCAAGAAAAGAATGAAAATTTTAAATATGAAAATAACAACTAAGCAATCTTATAAAAGCAAATAGTTTTAAAGCAGCTTGAACATCTACTTTTAGTGTGTGTACACTGCACAAATACTGTGTTTTATGTTTATATAGAACAATTTAAAATCTTCCTATCCTCTTCCATATTTTTATTGACCCCGTTGTAGCTAACTGATGTTGATAAAGGATAAATATAGGAAGAATCGACATACTTATACTTTCTGATATTAGTATGTCGACATACTTCATGATATCAACATGTCGACGTACTTTCTGATTTCAATAAGTCGACATACTTTCTGATATGAATATGTCGACATACTTCCTAATATTAATATGTCGACATACTTTATTATATTAATATATTAACATACTTTATGATATTAAAATGTCGACTTACTTTATGCCATTTATAGGTCGACATTCTACATGAAATTAATATGTCAATATACTACATGATAGTAATATGTCAACATACTTCCTGATATTAATATGTTTACATACTTCATGATATTAATATGTTTACATACTTCATGATATTAATATGTTTACATACTTCCTGATATTAATATGTTTACATACTTCCTGATATTAATATGTTTACATACTTCATGATATTAATATGTTTACATACTTCATGATTTTAACATGTCTACATACTTCATGATATTAATATGTCTACATACTTTATGATGTTAACATGTCTACATACTTAATGATATCAATATGTCTACATACTTCATGATGTTAACTTGTGGACATACTTTATGATATTAATTTGTCGACATACTTTATGATATGTTAACATATGTTAACATACTTCATGATATCAATGTGTCGGTAACAGTCGACATAATTCATTATATTATTATGTCCATTTACTCCATGATCATAATTAGTCAACATAGTTCATGATATTTTTCTATCGACAATCGACACATAACCTGATAATTTTTTGTTGTCAAAATGTCGAGATAATGTTTATGTTTTCTTGAACTAAGTTTTCTAAGGAGAACTGAAGAGCCTAAACGCCCGGAGAGAGATCGAACCCGTCGAGGCCGTCATTACAGTGAGGCTGGATATCTGGTCTCTGACCGAGGTCGAGGGCGGGACCATGTTTCCAGGGAGGCTCGGGACGGGGGCGGATACCTCATCGAATCAGATTTCGATTTCCGAAGTCCGCCATCAACCAGAGATAATTCAAGAGATCGGAAACCTCGGCTGGATCTTGAGGATTCGATTCGCCGGCCGAATCGTCGACCTCAAGATCATAATCATGTGACACGGAGGACAGAGGAGGTGTATGCATATCCGCGTAGAGGACAGGAGGATGTTTACGCTTCCCCACGTAGAAAGGAATTGAGGATTGCTGTGGGAGAAACTTCGAAAAGATTGAGTTCAGATCTAAGAGGATACGCCAGGTGGAAATGGGGGGATTTTGGATGAATGAATTGCGCCAGGAAAACTGTGAACTGATTTTCGTCTTTTTTCATGACAATATCCGAGCTGGGCCAACCTTTGCTGTCCTAGTTTGGACTGTACCGCCAATTTACAATTACTAAAGCGCAGACCTGTGGGAGAGAAATCAATCGCAAATTACAAAATATTAAGCGACATATTTATATAAGAGAGAGAAGGACGAAACCGATCATTTCACAGTTCTCTGGTTAACTATTATTATTATTATTATTATTACTATTATTATTATTATTATTATTATTATTATTATTATTATTATTATTATTATTATTATTATTATAAGGTGACTTATAAAAATAAAGGGTTCGGCCCTTTTAGAACAAAGTAAAGTGAAATAAAACAAAAAAATAATTGAAACTGAACCCTGGTCACAAATAATAATTTGAAACACCTTTATCTTATACAATCTAAGGCCGAATTTAAAGAATTTGATCCGCGGCTTAAATTTAAGCCGCGGCTCAAATATGTTTGTTTTAACTTAAAATCGTATTCAATGCTTCAAGGTTTAAGCCGGCGGCGCTCAATTGAAATTGGTTTTTGGCGGATTTAAGACGCGGCTCATATTCATTAAATTTGGGCACTGATGTTGTGGAGTTTTCATGATTTCAAACTATTGATTTTGTTAGATCAAATAGTTTCAGTTTGAAATAAAAAAGGTTTACAGTTACGCCAATGAAGAAGATTTGGTAAACTCAAGTTTTGTTGCAAGTGTTTAGATTCTTTTTACTTTTTGTTAAAAACAATTATATTATATTATTTTTTATTATAATTTTATTATTATTATTTTATATTATTCGTTTTTTCTTTTTCATTTAGCCCGCGAAGAGTTGAATTTGCTGGCGAGAGTTTTAGCTTCAAGAGTTCTGAAACTAGTAGACCAGCAAGTAGGGCAGAGTCACCTCTTCCAAAGAGTATCCTAAGGTACACAAAACTCTTACATTGTGTTTTAAATTCATATTTTAGAAAAGGTAATCTTCTTTTTTGAAACCAAAAGAAAATTGAATCTAAGTTTCAATCATATATATTTATTATCTATTGATATATGCTGAATAAAAATGTCAAATGAAATTATAAAAAAATCATTTTCGATAATTTTAAACAAAGAAGACGACATATTTTGTCAAAATTTTTAATTACCCACAAAAGATATATACTTAGAGGCGATTGTATGAAATTTATTCAGTATTTTTTCTAAAAGGAACTGAGTTTTTGCCACAAACCTAAATTTTCTAATCACTTTATCTTTGCATCCTGATAGAGTAAACCTTAGATATTTCAAACATATGTTATTTAACCTTACAGAAATCATAGTTTTAAATATGTAAGGTTTACGACGTTGGGTTCCAAATATATATCAGAGTTTGTGGCTGAGACTCAATTCCATGGTTTAAAATCGAAGTCAGAAACCAAAACTTAACCTTAAAATTGCTGTATCTATCGAGTTTATTAAAGTCTCATCCTTTTTGGATAACCCTGTTTGTTTTTGAAAAATATACTATACTATTCTTACTACATATATAATTGAAGTTTATAGAGTTTAACTCGATATCATCTTTATTTAATTCAATACTAATTGAATGATTACTATGTAAACTATTTTATAATTTCCCCATTAAATAAATAGTAGACGAAAATTTAATAAAATCGAATTCGTGAGCATACTCTTTAAAGGACACAGCGTAATTTCAAGTAATCCTTCATGAAAAGATGTAATGCCCGATTCACAACGGTACCCTTCAAATGATAAATTTCAATTATTGCAAGGAGGGTGACTTGAAATATCTTTTTTAGTCCCGTTAAATTAATAATTTTTATATTTCAGGCATACTAACTCTGAACCCACCAGTCAAAGGAAAGATAACAATTTTAATTGAATGATTTGAATTTTATTCTCTCCTCTACTTTGTTGAAATATTAAAGATAATATTTTCTCAAATCTTGAAAATTTCCTTGTCTTTCAAGTTTTCAACAGGAGCCAGACTAGCACCTAGCAATCCAATCATCATTTACAACAAAAATTATTCCTCTTCACACTGTGTACTCAACATAAACAAGAAATTTATATAATATGGGGATATCATTTCAACTTTAACCCTATCACGCTGGGGTGGGGGGGGGTTCCAATCACCCTTTTTTTCAATATCTTAAACGGTTGACATTAGAATAATAAAACTTCTTTACTTTTTCAACATCATAGTTGTAAACAAATTTTGCTAAACATTTTTGTTTATGAATTGGGTAGGGTGGAGGATAGTCAAACGGCGGGTAGGTGTTTAAAAAAAATCAGAAATGGTTAATACCTTTTTTAATAATAAAGCTACAGTGCTAAAATTTAAAATTGAAAAGCCCTTGAAAAATGGATGTAATAACATGTGTCACATGTTAATATTTGTCAAAAGTAAAAAGATTTATTTTGAACATTTTTCCGACGTACTTTTTGAACTTTTTAAAAATCCTACCTTGCGCCCTAACCATAAGATAGAGATCTATTTTTTTAATGAGTAGGCCTTGAAAATTTGGACTAGGGACTTGTATCACACTCCCCTATCTCTACTCTTAGGGCAAAATCATAATGGGGGGGGGGGGGGAGGGGAAACCCCCATCTGTATTAAACAAATATAGCCCTATCGGGATAGGGTTAAGCGTTTATAACACAAAAAGTTTTTTAAGGCCCTTGCATTGTTATGAAATAAAAAAAATAGATACAGTAAGAACCAGAAAGCCCTAAAATAGGAAGACGACTTTATAGCAATACTACAGTGTATTTGATGTTGTTACATAGCAAATAGTTTGTAATTCACTAAATCAGTGAACTGGATCTGTTTACACTGCTTAATTGCGGCTGTGTCCCATGCTTATTGGACTATTTAAAGTCATGCAAAAGTCGTCTTCCTTTTTCAGAGTTTTCTGGTTGTCATTGTATAGCCAAACAAATTTGCTCAATGCATAAGTAAAATGAAAACTAGATGAGTAACAATTCTTCCTTTTCATAGTTTTTAGCGAGATATAAAATGGAAATATAAGATTTCTTTTTGCTTCCAAAACAAATAAATTATTTCTACATTATAAATATACATTACTGCAAGTTAGTTAAAAGAGAAGTAAAAAATAATTCTCCTGTTGCACAGAAAGACAAAAAAACAAAAAAAAAAACAATTAAAATATTAAAAATAAAAGTAGAAGCAGCAGTCATCCAGCAACGAGATCAAATACTGCAGAACTTAGGTAAAATATATATTTATATTTTCGAATAACAAGAAAGAACTGAACTCCCCTATCTACCCTTTATATACTTTCTTCTTTTTCTTTCATTTCTTATTTATGATTGAATATATATATGATAAAATATTTTTAAAACCCTCGCTTATTTGTTGAAACATTTTCATACTTATTTCTACACATTTTATTAGATTATATCTAAGTTATATGATATTCTAGTCTAATGTTATTCTATCAATGTTGTATAATATCCTATCAAAGTTATAACTTAGATGACATTCGATCAAAGTTAAATGATATTTTATCAAAGTAATATGATATTGCAAAGTAATATGATATTGCAAAGTAATATGATATTGCAAAGTTAAATGATATTTTATCAAAGTAATATGTTATTGCAAAGTAATATGATATTGCAAAGTAATATGATATTGCAAAGTAATATGATATTTTATCAAAGTAATATGATATTTTATCAAGGTAATATGATATTTTATCAAAGTAATATGATATTTTATCAAAGTTATATGATATTTTATCAAAGTTATATGATATTTTATCAAAGTTATATGATATTTTATCAAAGTAATATGATATTTTATCAAAGTAATATGATATTTTATCAAAGTAATATGATATTTTATCAAAGTAATATGATATTTTATCAAAGTTATATGATATTTTATCAAAGTTATATGATATTTTATCAAAGTTATATGATATTTTATCAAAGTAATATGATATTTTATCAAAGTAATATGATATTTTATCAAAGTAATATGATATTTTATCAAAGTAATATGATATTTTATCAAAGTTATATGATATTTTATCAAAGTTATATGATATTTTATCAAAGTTATATGATATTTTATCAAAGTTATATGATATTTTATCAAAGTAATATGATATTTTATCAAAGTAATATGATATTTTATCAAAGTTTTACGATATCCATCAGAATCTATTAAATCGGTACTTCTGATCCAATCAGAGGAGAAAAGTAGGAAAAATAAAAATATCTAATTAAAAGGAAAGACCAAGAAGGTATTTAAATAGTTGAACTTTAAACTCTGTGATATGTTTTTGATATGTCGACCTGGATTTGGTAATTTTTTTCAATTGCAGATTACAAAGCACAGCTCCAGCTTGAAATATAAAAAGAGTTTTCTTCTTAAAATATTTTTGTAGAGAAAAGAAAATACTGTTTAATAAAACATGGAAATACAAAATATTTTATTTCTTCATCTTTAACGAATGGAAAAATGGCGTAAAAACAGATTATTATAAATTATTTATCATTATTCTGAAAAAATATATTTTGACATTCAAAACACCTAAAAATATTCCTTTTAAATATCTTTTATACTATATTTTCTTCATCATAAGGAAAGTTTAAAGTTATAAAAAAATTCCTTTAATAGTGCTTTGAGTGTAATTTTAAAGGGACTGAAAAATGAAAGAGGGTATATGCTGGAAGCTCTTGATCGCGACCCATGAAAGTTATATATGATTCACCTGTCTCAAGAAATTGATAAAAAAAACTGCGTCAAATTTATACGAAAATTTATATATAAAATTTTGTATAGAAATAGTAGGTTTAAACAGATCAAATTCAGCAAATATGCAACCAATCTTAAAACGAAGATATTCCAAAGAACCCCAATTGCAATTGGCTCCACTTTTAATTTCATAATTTTTTTTTAAATTTTAAATAGATATAATTGATAATATTTTTTTAAGTCTTTATTACGTCACCAGAACTCGACCAATGGCAGTGTGCAGTATACTGGTGATATTCTAGACATTCTAGAGTTACATACAGTTTATTCTAGAAACCCTAGAGTAATCTAGAATTTTTACACACTGCTCATTATGCATGTATATCTTCTCTAGATAGTTGCACTGTTGCACTCGTCAAACAACTTATGTTTTTAGCTTTGAAAAGCTTGTTTCAGGTTAAAGGGAATTTCTTCTTCTGGTATAATTTCAGGAATGAACAGAACTATGTTTATTTAACAAGTTTTTAAACGATGATTGAGGAATTCAAGTTCAGTACTAAACATAACGTTGGTAATGAAACCTTTAAAAACATTTCTTCTTGGTATTTCAAGGTTATTCTACACTTAAATACCCAGAATACTGCACTAACAATATTATCTGTTTAAACCTACTGTTTCTATACAAAATTGTATACAGGGTGTCTCAAAAAAACTGTGCAGTAGGGGTATTAGTAACTGAGGAAATAATTTTCGTTTAATTTTTACGATCAAGGTGTCATTCGAAAACTCTATATTTCAGTTATTTCATGCTGTGAAATCTTTCTTTCTAGGCCTCATACTTTTTATGTTACAACCAATTATTTGAGCGTAAGTCGAAAATCGCTTTCCCGGATTTTTCAATTTTTCGATTTTTCACGTCTCATTTTCATTCGTTCATAAAGTATGAAAAAAATTTAAAGATTTTAATATATATATATATATAATATATATATGCATTTTTGCATTAGTTTGACACAGTTTTATATCAATTTCTCACGATAGGAACATCAGATATAACTTTCATTGGTCGGGATAAAGAGCTAAAGTGATTCCTATACCACCTTTCATTTTTCCTCAACAGTCCCTTTAAGTGACCCTCCAGGCAAACACGGCAATGTTCGATTCAATATCCTTAAAACCTTTATCTTAATAAGCATATGAAAGATATTACTGTTTTTCTAGGCTTAAACGTATTTAATTCCCATAATTCCTACATGATTTCCTGCAATAGAAATGCTCATGTCACTTTTGTAGAGAAATCTCAATTGAAAACTTAATTATAAACATTGTATATATCTTATTTATAATTGATCATACAAAGCTTTCAAGGGTATCCTTGTAAATCGGAAACTGCCATCTTTGCATGGAGAGTCACTTTTAATTGCGCTTACAGTCCCTTTAACCTGTGGTATATTGTAGAATAATTTAGAAAACATTAACCTAATTTTTGTTTAGTTTGAGTCCAGCCAGTCGTCCCACTACCCTCATTATTCCAACAGGATATTAATATATTTAACTTATAGTAAAACAAAAACAACAAATAATGATTTATTTATAAAATTTGCTCTGATGTTGAAACATCGATTTGTTTAAATTATTATTATTCCTCGGGAGCCCGAAGAACAATTTTTCATTCTGCCTAAAACATGAAAACTAAATATTTCCCCCGAAATGATTTATTACCCATTCTTTACACTTTTTCGGCCTGTTTTCTGCCCTAATACTTGAGCGCTGAATCATCAGAACCAAAATGTAAATAATAATATTTATAAAGACGGATCCGGATCCTTCTCCTCAAAACACTTTAATCAGATCAACATTCATCATAGAACACCGGAGAACAAGGAGTCGAACCCGGAACCTGGCCAAGTAGAAGAACCTCGGGATAGAAGCCAATCCAACTCTGAGGCTGAAAATTGTAAATTTAGTATTAATGTCGGAAGTAAACAGATCAATGTTGGAAGTAAACAAAATGAGGAGACTTCTTCGACAAAACAAAGTCAGCCGGTTAAAATTTCGTTGCTCGACAATCAAGATGTCGACAGCGACGAGACTTTGACTGAAGAGGGACCGAAGGAAAGGAGGCAGCGACAGGAAAATGAGAGAGAAGAAGACGACCATGAATACCTGGGGAAAAAGAAGCGGCAGGTTCCCCCACCCCTAGCAGATTGGAATAGATCACAAAGTTTTCCCCCAGGAAATGGGGAACTGCAAAAACAATCCAGGGACAATTTATTTCAATCAAATTTTAAGTTTCTTACCAAATTTTCACTTCTCTCAAACTTTTTTGTGGATTTTCACTTGATTGATTGATTGATACCGGATTTAGGAAGACGAGTGACCCGGTAGCATTATCAAATGTTTCCCTGGATACTGAGATATCAGAGTTTTATTCAGATATGGATCTGCTAAGGAAACTAGCATTTGACTTGATAAAAACATTCTTTAGTAAAGAACTTTATCATTGTATTATTCAAATTTAGACTAAAGGGAAAGGCCAAATAAATTTGAAATTACTAGTAAGACTTTGTTACCCCATACCTTTCTTTTTTTTATTTTACGCAGAAGTATAATGGGAAATCAAATGTATTTGTTTTGTATAAAAATTAAAACATTTTTTGGATCCTTTTGATAGTCTTTAAAAATAGGAGCTATAATTGAAAGCATGTAATTTACATTATTTGGCTTGGTGCAAAGAGTGCGCTTTCTTAGAGATATTTCTGATTAAAATTAAAAGTTTATTCTCATTTTTTACATTCTATTGTTCTTCTTATAGTGCATACTCATCATTCGTTATATATTCTTTTTCAGAAGTCTAGTACTTTCCTATTTTTATTCTTTTTATAGCAGTTTTAAAATATTTCTATTTCCATTCTTTCATTGCATTTAATATTTTCTCATCAAATTGATTTTCATATCGTCTTTATATGTGAATTTCATCCTTATTTTATGTTATTTTCTATTTTACTTAAATCATTCATTATTTCGTTAATTTTTCCGTAAATCATAATTTGTAATTACGTTAATTTTTAGTAGATAAAATGTTTTATTTTACATTTTATTTTACACAAATTTAGATTTTATTGATTTTATTTAGATTTATAGCACATTTTTTTGCATTTCATTTTCTTTACATTTTTCAAAATGATTTTTGATTTTCTTTTTTTGGATTAAAATGCTTGTTTTTAAGGTCTCAAAATATGTTACTCAGGAACAACAATTATTATTACAAATAAACTTTAACAACAAATAATTCACTAAAAATTGTATATTAATAACTTTAGAAAAATGATTCCAAATTTGTCTCTGTAGCTATCTTTCTAAAGATGATTTGATTTAAGCACTAATTTTAGCTGTTGGCAGGAAGACCTGAATTCAAAATTAACATTGATATTTTTAACTAGCTCAAGTGCCCGGCGTTGCCAGTGGAAGAAAAAAAATATGATTTTGAAAAAAAATTTGATTTTTGAGAAAAATAATTTCTATTTTTAAGCCTGTTACCCCCGGGGTACTCAAGGGTTCTTTCAAACAATTTTTAGCCAATTCGGTCCAGCCATTTGGCAATCTATCGCTAACATATATACAAATATACTAACAAATATATATTTTTGAGTGAACAGCTTTATTATATGGACTAAAAAACATATTTTAATAAGTGTTGATATTGTTTATCTAAAAAAAAACTATTTGAGTTTTTTTATTATTCGAATATTTTTGTAAAAAACTGGTTGTTTCTAGGACTAGGGTAGGAGATCTGGAAAAGCAAGTTGGGGATAATGTTGATGAAATTAAATGCCTTAAGGAAAGTCTTTAAACTTCTTTAACAACAGCAAAATTTACATTTTAAAAACAGCATAAATTACATCTTTAGAAACAGCATAAATTACATTTTAAAAACAGCATAAATTACATTTTAAAAACAGCATAAATTACGTCTTTAGAAACAGCATAAATTACATCTTTTAAAACAGCATAAATTACATCTTTTAAAACAGCATAAATTACATCTTGTGTTTTTGAAGAAAAAAATGAAGAACTAACAAAAGTGTATCAAATATTTAAACCGTGCAATTTAATTTTTAAAATTTCATATTTTTTTTTATAAAAATATTAACAGATTGACCAAAGTTTTTTTTTTTTATTTTTTGATAAAAATCCAAATTGACATGGCCTGGCCTTACGTCTGCCATGATGAGTTTGTAAACTAACAAAAAATAATTAAAACTTGACTCGCACTTGAATTCTATCATCCTTAACCTAATCATTCAACTCTTTTGGATTAACTTTTAAGATTTCTAACCTTGACATATTCATAAAAAGTTTGAAATATTAAAAAGTCCTTTTTTAGATTACAAGGTTAAGAAAACCAGAGTTTGGGGCATACGTTCAATTTCTTAAAGACAATTTACAAATATTTTAGTTTAGCATATTTTGATTTTTGAATTTTTTAGGGGACATTAGCAGAGTGTCTGAGACGGATAGATATTGTAGAAACTCACACCAGGTATTATAACCTTTATTAATGTTAAAGAGGGTGTTCGTACGTCATAACAAGTATTTAGAATATTTTTCCATTGTTTGCAAAACAATAGCTTTTTACAGAACTGAACGATAATGTTAGGGTTAAATCGGGATCTCAAACATTCTCTTCGTTATTTCTAACAATACGTTTGTTATTTCAATCAAAATGTTCATTATTTCGAACAAAATGTTTGTATTTCTAACAAAATGTTCCTTATCTCGAACAAAATGTTCAATATTTCAAACAAAATGTTCGTTGTTTTGAACAAAATATTTGCTCTTTCGAACAAAATAATCGTTATTTCGAACAAAATGTTCGTTATTGCGCACACAATGCTCGTTATTTCGATCAAAATGTTCATTATTTTGAACTTAATGTTCGTTATTTCGAACTAAATGTTCGTTATTTCGAACAAAATGTTCGTTATTTCGAACAAAATGTTCGTTATTTTTAACAACTAATGTTTGCTATTCCAAACAAAATTTTCATTATGTCGAAAAAAATGTTCGTTATTTTGAACAAATTTTTTTTTATTTCGTACAAAATGTTTATTATTTCGAACAAAATGACTATTCAAAAATTATCTACTAATTTCTTTTTTGAAGGGTTACAATCTGGGTTGTTATAAAATTTCAAGTAGTTTCTCAGTCTAAAGCTACATTAAAGTGACTGTAAGTGTACTATCAAGTGACCCTCCATGCAAAGATGACAATGTCCGATTTACAACAGTACCCTTGCACCATAATCTGATAAAATGATAAAGTTTTTACTCGAAAAGAGAAACCTCAAATGCATATAAATATTTTGAAAAAAAACATTGATATCTAATTCATGCTTGATATGACAAAGCTTTCATGGGTACCGTCGTGAATCTGACACTGTCGACACCTTTGCATGGAGGGTCACTTGAAATTACGTTTACAGTCCCTTTAAGACATGTTTATCTTGCATATAAGTATCTGTCATTTCATTCAGTCTAATGTCACTAAACGTAAAAACAATATTGGAATTCTATGCACGGCCAACTAAACCAGCGCTCAGAATTGTTAAACAAATACACTTCAGAACAGTTCAATTAGCAATATTTGTACCATGGTTGTGTAGAAAGGTTTATAGATACTTTGTATCGGGGCGTAAAAAATGATTTTATAGAGGGGGGGGGGGGCTAACATTTGAATTTTTTACCCCTGCTCTTAAAATAGGTATACCCCCTCTCATGATGTATATCAAATTATTGGTTTTAATTGGGTTTGATTTAAATTTTCCACTCATTTCTGGCATTAACAAACTTTATCAAATAAAGGCTTCCTTTCCTACCTTTCAGCTTTCACCTTTATATTATTAATTAAAGTCATTAATTTTACATTTACCGAATTTTATTGATCTGTAAAAAACCTGGATTTATTTTAATATTATAATAAATTTACTCTAAGAGGCAGAAGATGCTACTTTTTTAAATCTCCATTTTACTAGTCTTTAGGAAAAGCTACTCTGCAGAACTTTGAGATAGTTTTGTCTTTGTTATTCTAATTTCTAGTTCTGGACAGAACAGACAGACTGATATTTTCGTAAAGTTTTCTTGTCGTCTTGTCCTCTTTCATGTAGAACTACTGAGGGAGTTGAGGCAGATACCAGCTCACAGCGAAATGCCGCGAAAACATCTATCTTCATGAATATAGCCGTCTTTAAATATGTTTTTTAAAAGCTAAGAAAATCCTTCCCTCCCCTTCACCAGCTACTTTGTCTTTCGCCAATATTCATTTACGTCATATGAGGATTTTGACTGTTCATTGCTATAAAGACGACATATAGTACATTGAAGTGCACCCAGAGTATCTAATCTTGATTTGTACAGTACTGTACTGTACTGTACTGTACTGTACTGTACTGTACTGTACTGTACTGTATTGTACTGTACTGTACTGTACTGTACTGTACTGTACTGTACTGTACTGTACTGTACTGTCTTGATTCATATTTGATAGATTTGGATTGTTTTCTGAGTATAAAAAGATCAATCTTCTGGAGTGTATAATTTATAACCTAAGAACACAGATTAACAACTGTAATAGATCTGCATTAATGATAGTTATTTGGAACACATGATGCTGTAAACAATTTATACTCCCTGTTCTACACCTTCACATTATTAGGCCAATAATTAATTACGTAAAGAAAATTTACGCAAAAAAGTGTACTTTAACACGCAGTCCCACCAAACCATGATGATTTCTTAATAAGTAAAAAACAAACTGTCGTTTTCTTGAGAAATAATGCGGCATTCAATTGCAAATCTAATTCTACATGTGTGATTCTTGAAACAATTTACTCATAAAATGTGTCTAAGTATACCTCCACTTTGAAAACGTAGTCTCTTCTGAGCTACAGTTCTAATTAGAAAGACCCAGAATTAATTTGCAATTAATAAGAGACGACTTTACAATATAATTTTACAAATATGATTGATGACACGATAATCACAAATTGCCCTAGAACTGCCATTTTCAAAATGTGGTCTGACTTTTTTGAGCATTTAAAATTGCCAGAGATAAAAAGGTAAAATCGCCAGATAAACTGTCAGTTAATTCCGGGTCCTTCTGATGACCGTATTAGATTTATTTCTTTCGGATTTTGATTTATAACAATAAGCCAAAATAGTCAAACCTCAATATGTATTGTTATTTTTAAGATTCGAAAAAGGTAAAATACATATTAAAAACTGTTTGCTGCCTTTTTTGATGTGAACTTTAAAAACATGCTTTTAAAGAAAGACGTTATCATGTTTCATTTTTAATAATTTTAAATATTTTTCAGGCATTGTCAGTATAATAGTATAGATGGCGATGTAATAGAGAAACGACGACCTGTCTCTTCACCTGGAAACTATTCAGCTGTCGAACAGCGTGCTCCCAGTAGAACCGGTTCTTATGGAACACGGGCTTAATTGTCAACTAGTCAACGCCATTATGGCGCATTAAATGACTGCAATAGTGTTAAAATATCTAAATACTCGTTTTAGAAGATAATTGTACTAAATCTAACCATTTAAAAAATTTAAGCGTCATCAACGCCATTTTAAATCAGCTGCTCCAATGTTTGCAGTCATCTTCGAAATTATGTTTATTTCCTATTGGTCAATATGCCGTCCTAACTTATTGATAACCAAAAATAACCTGATGTGCTGTATATGAATGTAAAACTACCACTTGATTAACATTTAAAAACAAACACGTATATTTTGTCAACGCATTAATTTTAAATAACAAAAATATATTAAATTTGAACCATGCAGTATTTTTATTAAGGAAAGTTTTAATTTTATATCACAAGGTTGGCGATTTATAGTATAGTAATTTAAATTTCTTTCCAAACACGATGTTCATAATCGTTTAAAAAACAAAATTGTTATGAACAGAGATATTGATTCAGAAACCTTCTGAAGGATATTTAAAAGTTTAATTTTTAACAATTTTCTCCGTAACCGTGATTTGAAAATCGAATTTTTATTAAAAAGTAATGCAAATCCTAGGACTGTTTTGTGAAATATAACAGCCCTGGTAAATTAGAAATAGCAAGTTTTTCAAAATTAAACTATTTTAACTTTTCAGCTTAGTTTTTTTGTCATCTTAAACCTGCAACAGGGTGAGATTTAATAAAAAATATTTGACTAAACAAATATGTAGATATTACAAATATTTGATATTTATAAAAACATCGATAAAAACAAAAAGAAATCTCAAAATCTCCAAGTTTTTCCAAATTTCCATATGAAATATGGATACATCGAAGTGTATATCCATACATATAGAAATAAGGATACATCTAAATATATATCCATATATATGAATATCCATTACACAAAAGGGGTGGATTGACACTGTTTTCCCGTTTTCTATGTTAATTGTTTCTCTGTGAACTAATGAATATTAGAACTAGAACAAACAGTTCCCAATTCCATACTTACTAGGCCTGGGCTTCATATTTGTAATTTCCTTTTCTGCTCAAGAAATGACAAATCCTTTTTTTCCTACCTGAAAATTGATTATTTTAAATTGCAGTTCTCTGTAAAAGTGACACTTGTGCTTTAGAAAATAGAAAATGAATTAGAAGAATTAAACATTTTTTATGATTAGAAAACGACGATATCTTTCTCATCGTTACCCGAAAACAGGTTTTAATTGGTAAAATTTTTACATCAAATTAGGGTCATTGAAAATTACTATAAATCTTCTGTAGTGTTAACGTATATTTCTGTTCGAACACTAATTTTAACTTCAAATGAGAAAAAAGTAGTTTCAATCTTTATTATGTAAACAATGGCCAGCTCTATTCCTCACTACTCACTAGTGACCATTTAGAGTTGATTACCACTTAGGGACCATGGCTTAATATATATATATATAGATTCCATTCTGGATGCTTTATGTTTATTTATTCACAAATAAATATAAACTGAAGACTGTAAGTGTAATTTTACAACGTATAGCCTTAATGAATTGAAACCTTTATCTGATAAAAATGTGGAAGATATTGTCGTTTTTATAGGTCTTAAAATGTTTGATTCCTATTTATTTTCTGCAGTAGGAAACACGCAAGTTACTTCTGAAGAGAACTCCCAATTGAAAATTATCATTTATAGAATTCATACTTTATCAGACAAACCTTTTAAGGTCATTGACATTTTTTCATTGGAAAATACTTGAAATTAAAATTTTCATGGGTCACATAATGAGATAGGCAGTCTTTTTTCAAAAACAAAAGGCCAAGGTGTTCAAGCACTTCAAAGTCAACCCAACATTGAAATTTTCGTAGCAGTCTGGATTTATGGAATTCACAATTACTATAGTTTCAGTAGAAGTAAATATTTCCATTTACTGATAGCGCCGATTAAATAATTCATAACTCTGATTGGATAATGAGCTAGATAGAAAGATAGATGTTATGTTACCGCCATACTATTTTTATTGGTTCAAAATAAACAACAAACACATGGCTGAACCCTGATTGGATCAGGCGCTAATGGACCGGCATACTGGAGTGAAACGGTAACCTAATTCTTATCAATGGATAAAAGACGTCAGAGATTTAATAAATATCAAAATTGGAGGCGTTATAATTCCGTAAAGTTGTATCTAACCGTAATCTGATATATGATCAAATTCACGTGACATTATTGCAGCGACTTTGTGACTTCGCAGCACATGTATAATGAGAAAAATTAAAATTAATTTAAAGCCTTTTTGTTGTTCTCATTAGCTCATTAATAAGAGGAAATAAGATTGAAAACATATAAGATTTCAATATAAAGTGCAATTTACTTTATATGTTAGCTATAGCTGGCCAAATAGCTTTGAGGAAACCCATCAGTACCCTGAGATTAACATGGGCTAAAAAATCGATTTTCATTTTTAAAATTCGATCGTTTTTTTCATAATTTTATTTTGAATTTTATTTTAAAATTTGAATTTTTAGAATGTTTATAAAATTCCACGGGCAACACCGGGCACTTCAGCTATTTTATAATGTATAGATATATATATATATGAGTGAAAAGCTTTATTAAATNATAGATAGATAGATAGATAGATAGATAGATAGATAGATAGATAGATAGATAGATAGATAGATAGATAGATAGATAGATAGATAGATAGATAGATAGATAGATAGATAGATAGATAGATAGATAGATAGATAGATAGATAGATAGATAGATAGATAGATAGATAGATAGATAGATAGATAGATAGATAGATAGATAGATAGATAGATAGATAGATAGATAGATAGATAGATAGATAGATAGATAGATAGATAGATAGATAGATAGATAGATAGATAGATAGATAGATAGATAGATAGATAGATAGATAGATAGATAGATATATAGAGTGGTTATACCACTACAGACTGAGAAATTATGTTCTGTTGTACAATGTACATTTATTTACAAAATGTAATATAAAGACGTAGAAACAATTGCATTTTTAGCTTGTTGAGTTACAATGTACATTTATTTACAAAATGTAATATAAAGACGTAGAAACAATTGCATTTTTAGCTTGTTTAAATACTCGAAAAAGTAGTTTAATGTAAGTACTACAAGTATTTTAAGAATGATGTTTTTCATTAAATAACAAGCTTAAAAAATAGAAAGTCTTGCAATTAAAAAAAATCAATGAAATAAAACATTTTTTAAAATTTATCTAAGGTTTCCTAGTTTCTATTTGCTGTAGATATTTGAAACTAGGAATTCCGTTAAATTAAATAATCTAAGTTTAAAATATCAAAGGTTTACACTATTGGTTGCAAAGATATAGGGATTAGAACATTTAAGTTTGTAAGTCTGAGTACAGCTGTATTTATGCGTAAGAAGCGTCAACTCAGTTTTTATGTCCGACAAAATTATTAACAATAGTGATAATTTTAGACAAAGTTCTTATCATTCAGTGAAATAAGTGCAATTTTATGTGTTCTTTTTTTTGTGTTTTTACACTTTTTTATTTATTCTTTGAAAACATGTCAACTAATGTATGACACTTGTTCCAACGTGTATAGTTGGTCCATTTCTCAGTTGCCCCCTATTTTTTAGGAATATTGATTACTAGCTTGGGAACCCAGCGCTGCCCAGGTTACTCATAGTTACTCCTGCCGTTTACCCGCAGTTGAATTATTTTACCGGGAAACTAAATTTTATCTATTAAAGTCGACCCACTCAATTAGAAATCTTAAAACCAAGCTAAGAACCTTCCCATGGCTAACCCGAGTTCCCCAGATAAAATTTGGAGCATATCGGTCCAGGGGTTCCTGAGTTGTGATCGGACAAACAAACAGACAGACAGATATAAATTTTGGCGGGAAACAGTCAAATTGAAGTAAATTCTAATTTTAATTGAAATTGTCTTTTAACCATAGCTCCTCTATCAGCAGAACTACTAAGAAGAATATGAAAATTTGGTTTTTCTAATGCCATAAAAAATGATTTTCGTACGCCTGGAAAACCATAGGAGCTTAGAGATCACAAGGTCGTACCACTATTTCGTATAAAAATTACTCCTAACTTATTGATAACCAAAAATAACCTGATGTGNTATTTTTGTATTTGTTTAGAATTGGCGGGAAATATTCCCACAACCTCTACTTTTAGAGGTTTTTAAATATTTTCTCCTGAAACACTTTATTTTGTATGTTTTTGTTATATTTCATAAATAAATAATTTTTTACTTTTTACTTTACTAATTGGTGTAGCAGGGAGTCACGGTAAACTAGAGGTCCTGATTCAAAGTTCAGCAATTAAGTCTTAACTTTAGAACCGATTATTAAAAGTTAAGCGTATGATTTTTTTTCAGAATGGTTGTTTATTTGCTGAATATGATCCGTTTAAACCTACTATTCTTATACAAAATTTCATATATATATTTTCGTATAAATTTGACACAGTTTTATTTCAATTTTAGATAGAGCTCTCATGAAACTCTATCAACTAACATGCTTAGATTTCAGCTTATACCCCCTTTCAGTTTTCCGTTACAGTCCCTTTAAAAAAAACGCAGTGATTAATTCAAGGTTATAATGCAAGAAAAGTTAATTTCTGTTGCGTATACTCTGCGTACATATTGAAACCAGTTCTTTCTGGGCGGAATTTGTAAACAAGAATAGATGCATCAATGTTCTTTTAGTATCTGAGGAGGTTAAAAGCATTAAGTTTGGATAATTTTGATTCATTAATCTTTTAGATTGACAAGACTTTTACAGGTTTACTCATGAAAGATGATAACTGCACGCAATGTTATCAGTCGTTTTTTACAGTCTAGCTACAGGGTGTCCCACGAAACATGACAGTGTGTAAACAGTGTAGAATGTCTTCTTCCTTGGATATAATCTAATATGATATGGAACGCTCTGTATGATTAAAAAACACAGGTTTTACATCACAAAAATATAGAATATACATAGAATATCTATAGAGTGTGTTAAGTACATTAGGATTTAATCTATCCTTCCTTTGTTACTTACTCTAGCAGAAAAAATGTTAAAATTTGCTTTTAATTAACATCCAAATAATTGGGTTTTTTTGTCATTTCACATACAGGGTGTCCCACGAAACATGACAGTTGGTGAATAGTATAAAATGTCTTCTTCTTTAATTTGTTAAGTTGTTTAATACCAAAGACAATACTAAAACTATTATATAGGAGTTATTCTATGGTAAAATTATTTTCAAAGTAAAATATATTTGAGCAAAAAATATTCTGAACGAAATAAAGTGCATAAAGTGGGAAGGTTT